TTTTTCTTTATCAGTTTATAGCAATTATATTTTAGACCCGTAAGTAACTTGCAAAAGAAAAAACAGCAAAAACTCGTTCAAAAGATCAGTTCTGCAAGAAGCAATTTAAGCAAAGAAGTGTATTTTCTTGTCATGTTTATTTTTCTAAGTAGTGGTTTTCATTTTGCTTGCTTTTGTAAGAGGACAAATTTCATTGAGTATTTTCAAATACTATTTTTTTGATTCCCTCATTTAGCTCTTTAAAACAACCATATTGTGTTGTGAGATACTGAAACTGGTCTAACAGCAAAGCAGTGCAGAGTGTATTACAGTGAAAAATAGATGTTGAATAAAAAAATAGGCCAAATATTTTATCTATAAATAAAGGGAATGTATGAGCGTGTGAATGGCATCAAATGTGGGCCTAGGAGGAGAATGCACTAAATACAGAGAACATCCATATCATAGAAAGTAGAAGCTAGTGTGGAAAAGACCTTACAACAAGCTTAAATTCTACATTGATACAAAAGCWGTTCTAAAATGGACTTGCTTAAAGAAAAATAGACTGAATGTAAAAGTTTTTTGTCGCTCTGCCACACCGTGTGTGAATGTAGATTATAGAAATAGAATTCAAATCCAGAGTTCTAAAAATTAGAACTTGCAGATCTCTTCCCTGTTCAAAGGGACAAAAGTCACTGATAAGGGAAAACCAGGAAAAACAAGATCACTGGGTAACGTGCATTTTGCACCAGAGCCAGAATCCTTCTAATATAACAGCAGTATATTAGCTTCCAACAAAGCCTGTTTGGTCTGGGTTCACCTACTTACCTCCTGTCCTATTTCATCTTTCCAGAAGAAGAAATAACTGCTCCTTTATTTAGTAAGATTATTATTTGTTGTATACTAATACAAATACTAAAATTGACGTGAATCTTTTAAAATCTGAGTATAAGTCCATTCAGACTTCCTGTCTTGTCTTCAGATACTTGATAGCTTTTTAGTTTCTCGTTTGGATGACAGCTGCCAATATATTTAGACTTAAAATATATGTAAATCTTCCATAAATTATTTTAAAAGGCTACTCTGAAAAATATTTTGAACTATTTATGAATCTTAACTTAGAGTCTGTAGCTATAAAGAGTACTTGCACAGAACATGTAGCATTTCTAATACTGAAAAAAAAACCAAAGGAGAAAACCAAACCAAAATAATTCAGAAGGCTGAAATGTCATTGTATTTGAAACCGAATGGAAAATGCAAAGATCTGGATATTCCTGCCTTTTCTAGCTTTAATATTAGTTATGAACAATTAAACACTGATGTTGTGGTTTGAACTTGGCCGAAAGCCAAAGCACCTAACTACATTCTCTCCCCCCCGCTCCACTGGAGAAGGGAGAGCAAAAGCCCAATTAACACTAAAATTTGTGGCTTTTAGATAAGATAACATAATTAAGAGAAAGATACATATATGCTGCAGAAAATGGTCAGACAGGCTGAATAACTTAAGTTGCAAAATAGTTTCATTACTAAAAACTACTAAGAATACTACCGCACTGGGGAGGGGAACAGAGGGAAAAATTTACAAGGAGAAGAAAATAAAAATGGACATTTTAAGACACCTGTTAAGCTTTCTGGGAACCTGTCTCTCTTCCAGGTTGTCCCTCCCCACCCCTCATGCCTTCCCGTGCGCAAGAGAGGCAGGGGATGAAAGTTAAACATAGATCAAACTACTCATTACAGTTATTGTCCAGCACCCTAGGACAAGAGTCCTTACAGTTCCAAACTGTGGAAGTTCTTTTCCCAAGAAACAGTCAGTGTATAACTGCTGATGGCATGGGATTCTTTACCTTGTGGGAAGAAAGGAAGACAGTCCTCCATGGCTGACTGCGTTATATTGGTGGTGTAAGGCCACTCTCTCAAATCTCCTGGGAGAACACAGCTTCTTCTAAGCCCCACTTGCTTCAGACGTGGGGCAGGGGCACCTCTTCCCCCTTTTTGGCTCATGATCAGTCCAGTCCTCAAAGGCCAGGTTTTTATCTTGGATGCAGGGCCTCTCTTTTCTATACAGGACTCCCATTGAAGAAATAGTCCTTTCAAGACCAGCTTGTTTTCTCTATGTTGAGCACCACAGCAAAAAAAAAAAAGCATCTGTCTTCTTCTTACTATGATCTTGGGTCTCCATTTTTTTTCCTTAAATCTCCTCACCCTCCTCCTCTGTCCTCCCCCAGTGCCTGATACTAAGAACCTAAAAACTAAATGGCAGCTGCAAACTATCTTGTTTTGAATTCTTCATAAGTACAAGACCATATGTCATCACAGAGGTGTAACGATCATGTGCAATTGGCCAAGGCCTGATGGGCAGCCTGTCCATCAACCTCAAAGTCATAATGGATTGGTTCTGAAACACAGGGGGTAGGGCTCATTTTGCTGGAGAAGAAGGAGAATGCTTCTAGAACTTTGTCACAGGAGCCATCTTTGTGGTTTCTTGGTCCCATGCCCCCACCACCAAATAACCGGACCGAGCAAAGCCAGGACAACTGACTAAAACTGTGTGCAGTTCTGGGCCACACAAATTAAGAATTATGCTAAGGCACCTGAATGCGTCCAGAGGAAGGTAGAAGGGCTGGAAGGTATGTCCTGCAAGGAGTGGTGGGGTTTGATTAGTTTGGAGAGAAGGAGGCTGAGGGGCAACATCATTGCTCTGTTGAGCTCCCAGAGGAGAGAACGTGGGAAAGGTTCTGGGCTCTTCTCCCTGTAATCCAGCAATAAGATGCATGGAAATGGTTCAAAGTTGCATCAGAGGAGGTTCAGACTGGACATTAGGAAACATTTGTTTTCTGAGAGGGTGGTCAAAGCCTGTCACCGGCTTTCTAGAGAGATGGTTGATACCCTGTGCCTGTCAATGCCTTAAAAACAGGCTTTTGGATAACGTCTTTTATAAAGGGCTGTAAATTTAAATTGGGTCAGCCCTGAGGTGGTCAGGCAGTTAAACTAGATGATCATTTGAGGTGCCTTCCAACTGAACTATTCTATTCTATTCTATTCTATTCTATTCTATTCTATTCTATTCTATTCTATTCTATTCTATTCTATTCTATTCTATTCTATTCTGTTACTAGTTGCCACATATTTTAGGCTCAACATGGGCTGTGCATTCAATCCACGACCACTAAGGATAAACAAGGATCATGGGAACACAGTAACTCAGGCTGGAAAGGGCCTCGGAAAGACACACTTTTTTTTTTTTTCCAGAAAAAAAACCCCAGATTTTCAAAATAATGGCTACAATTCATCATAAGGGAAATTGAATATTTAATAAAAATATTCTCATTAGGCTTTGGAATTAAATGCATGAACAGAGAATCAAAGAAACAGATGAGTAAATATTCTTGATGAATAAATATGCTCAGCTTTCAGCTGTTTAATTTAATAACTTCACTATTGCTCAAAATACCATAGCAGTTTCCAACATAAAAATGTGAAATACAGGAATAACATGAGAAATAAGGCTTTTGATAAAAGCAGTGTAAGGATAATAAATCAGGAAGAGCTTGGAGAGAAGAAGAGAAATCGAGCTGTTTCTTTGTATTTTACCTTTAATATTGTGTTTACTTTTCTAAATTGTCTTGTTATTCTAATTGACTGTCATTGATATGGGAAACTACTGATGAGCACAGATACTCTGAGATGTCGGTACTTCATGTTCTGCCCAGCATGATGCAGAGAAAATGGCTTATAATGGTCTCTTTTGCTCTATGTTACAATAGCACTAAAAAGTGTTAACCAGATCTTATCTGAGAAAACAAATCCCAAGTTCTCTAAAGTATCTTTGTTTTCCATGTAAAATCTTGGATTCCTTAATAAACAATCACCACYGCGGCTTGCCCGCTACTCCTTAGAACTCCATTTCAGTCTGACTGAAAACTCAGTTGACAGCAAGAGGAGGAAGCTGTTGGAAGGGAGAAGGGAGCTGTTCGTTGGCAGAAAGTTGTGATACACTAACTCACAAAATCTTACAGCCTCATTTATACCTCAGGAACATGGGCTTTCCTGCTCAGGCTAGTATTGCAGGTGTCAACATGAATCAAAGAAATTTGTGTACTGTAAGCATGGGGGAACATGGGGCATCATAGTGCCTGCCAGGTTCCTTTTCTTACACTGCTTCTTGACCAGATACATTCTCCATGTTCTGTGCTAAATTTACTAATTTAGTTCTTAGAACACTTTTGCGATCTTGCAAATCCAATGACTGTTAGGGACTTGCAGAGCCTGTAATTACAATTCCGCATAAAAATCTTGGGGTTTATTTCTCTGTTGTTTGTTCTAGCTGAGAATTTGCAAGAAACACAAATTCCAGGAGCACTTGAGTGCCAATGGAATGCCAACAACCGTCTGTGCAATTCAAGACCAGATCAGCTGTAACTTTCTTGGCAGGACCACTGGGACTATTGGGAGAACAGTATGGGGGTCCTCTGTGTCTTCCCAATGAGGGTAATAGTAATAAACTTTAGCTGTGTGTTTAAGAATGTGTCTTTAAAGACCCAGTTTCAGAAACAAAACCTAGCTCAAGTCCACCCATAGGGACTTAAAACCTGTGTGATAGAACTCCTACCATTAAGGGGGAAAACCAGGACTATGACATCATACTTTTTGTTCCCCTTCCCTTTTACTTGCAGAAGCCAAGTTAAGCAATTGTTTGCAAGGGTCTCTGAAGGAATCTATTTGCCTGAGTGGGCAATAGGGAAACGATCTAGCTGGTTGTTGGCAAAATGCATTACTAAAGGTTTGTTATCCTGTCAGTGTTTGAACTTTGTAGGCTGTATGGCAACACCACAAATGAGGGTATTCCAGTAAGGACAAGGTTAGCTAAAGATGGTTACTTGCCCATTCTTAACAGCTGTGTACGACAGCAAATGGCATGCGAGACTAACGCTCTTTAAACAAGGCTCAGGACAGGTGGGGTCAATGGGAGACGCTGAGGCTGAGACCGGGGAGGGAGGCGGAGCTCAAGGAACGGCCGGGATGCATCGCTCGGTGCCGCCGCCGCCGCATTCCGTCCTCAACCCGGCGCCGGGCGGGCCCGGGGAACTGGAGCGCTCCGGACGCCGCCGCTGGCAGCCGCTGCCGCGCGGGCCCCACTGCGCCGAGTCACTGGTAGGAGCGGGTGGGGATGGAGCTCCGGCTCGGTAGCCTCTGGTCCTGCCCTCGGCTCCCGGAGTGGGGAGGGCGGTTGGGCCCAGGGAGGTGCCGTGGGGTGGGAGTGGGGCGAAAGCAGTGCGGAGTGGGCGGTGGGGCCCGTCGGAGCCGCGGTAGTGCCGCCCGGTACGGACTGGGCGGCCCGGGGGCGACGGCGGGCCCGCGGGTTGGGGGCTGGGCGGGCCGTGCAGGTCCCGGAGACCGGCCCGCGGCCCCGAGTGCGGCGGGGCTGAACCGCCTGCGAGGACCACTACAGGAGCTTCCCGGCAGCCCTGAAAGGCGGGCAGGACGCTGATGGCGATCCCCATGTGTGCAGGGAAGCCGGGRATTTGCCGTTCAGGGCCTAAGCCTGTGCTGAGGCTGCTCAAGTGCGCTCTCCGTGCCACTCAATGGGTGACAGTGTAAGCGCTGGAAAAGCCCGAAATATATCTGTTAGCAGTGATGTCTTTTACTAATATGTATGTGTATTTAGGGTGCATAACCATCTCCCCAGTTGCAATTTAAAGCCCTCAGCAGCCCCCATACTCTCAGGCAAGTGATAAACTTGAATGTGGCCTTCCTGTTGGGTCTGACAGTAACGAAGTGCACTAGTTTACAGCCTTTTGTGTAATAGATTTTGGTTCRTTAAGAGTAGACTTCAGAGAGATTCAGAATTCTGCTTAAAGATTCCCAATGTGACTTGTGATGCTCACTAACTGCCCTTGTGCACGCTAAGGTGTATGAAAATGTTACTTTACAGAGTATGAAATAAGCTAGGCTGCTTTGCTTTGCCAGTTCTGTCTCTGCACGTTTACTGGGAGAGTGTTTCTGAGCAGTTGCATTGCTGTTTTGAGTGGTCTGCAGATTGTAGGAAAATAATCTCAGATCTTAATTCTCTGTACATATTATTTATATGCTGTTTTATATAGGGATTTTACCTGCCGTAAATGTGTGTATATATCTGTTACAAAGAAAATACTCCGTGATGAATATTAACAAATGTTTCCAAAGAATGTGTATTTGTGTGTTCTCTAGATTGGGCCAGGATGTCATTCATGTATGCTTGCATAGCTGCATGCCGAAATGAATCGACGTCAGAAAGCTGATCCTCCCACCAGCCCCATGCTGTTGGTGTATTTTGAACCAAATTCCATCTGACTGGAATGTATGCTTGCCTCAGTTGCTTTTCTTCTCCCTTGAGGAAGAGCATTTGGTAGGATAATGAAGATAGAGGAGGGTGGTTCTCACAGAGGCTTTGAAGCAGACGGAATTGAGGCAGTTGCAGTGCAATCACTGAAAATCTTGCGTAAGAGTACTGATATTGTAGTGGCTCTCTGTATAAGCTCTTCTTTGACCTGCATTATGCTGCTGTCTTGGCCACCAGGCACATATAATCATATGCAAATGTAGTGTGTTATGGCAGTCAGATGAGTCAGAATTGAATATTCTGGGAGAAAGATTCCTGTTGGCACTAGTTGTTAAGTTTAATAGCAATTTACTRTAACTGCTTGTACAGTTAGGCTTTTATTCATTACTTGCATTGCACATAAGTATGTGTTTTGAAGCAGCTTTTAAGTAAGGGAAGGAGTGTTTGAGAAGTAGGCAGACAACAAAACTTTAAAGCCTTTATATACATTACTCTGGTGAGCTTGAGGAAATGACCTTTAGGAATGTGGATGATATAAGGGACTATGAAACCTTTCCAACAAATACCTAAACATCTGCTGCAGATTATACCAAGTTAAGACAAAGTACTAGTCACTTAGAGTGCATCCATTAAAAAAATCAAAACAAAATTAGATTGATTAAACATACTTACCACAATGTGTTTGAGTAGGTCTGCTTTAAAAGTATCTTTCATAGACTAGCTCTTCCTAGTCAAAGGCTGAATATAGTATTGTTTAGGCTGATCATTTCAAAATAATGTCTCCAGAGCTGCACTGGCAGACTTGGCAGTCTAGAATATTACATTAATTTCTTCTCCAACACAAAACCAGTAGAAGTTTGGTTTTTAAAGAAAAGAGATCAGTATTTATTCACTGAAACCTGTAATACTTCAAGCAATCTGCTTTTGTTTGTTTCTATCTATTATTTTAAAAAGGTAGTATATTGTTGGCAAGTTGGGTTGTTGGGTATCTTCTCAAGTGGGCTAACCTGAAAATAAAGAGAACTTTGATAGCTGGATGAAAAGATGGAAGATCAAAAATACAGAGGAGTAAAAATGGAGTTTGAAGGGAAACATTCTTTCGCTCAATAATCCAAGAAAGAATAAAAACTATTTGTTTTATATTATGCACCAGCATCTTTACATATATCTCACAGTTTCATATGTTGATAAGAATCAGGATAGTAAACAACCACTTTTATGCTGGCCAGAAGCATCATTTTACTGAGAGAGTGAAGGGAAATTGTTCTTCTGTGATGCAATCCAGCAAGAGAGTCACATTATCCATGTGGAAGACTAAATATTTCAGAGAAGTTACCATTTGTTAAACACTTCCATCTAGTATTGGTTGGCAGAGAGATGTTAGAGTTAAATGGCCTTCTTTCCCACCATTGTCTTTCACTTTTTCTGCTTGCTAAGTCTGTTCATAAAAAATTCATTAGCCTGGTCAGACTCTTGGCATTCCATCTGTCTCTTTCCTTTGCAAATTGTATGCTCTGTCATGCTGATCTAGTCTGAGCTAGTCACTTGTGTTGCCAGTAGTAGTTCCTCAGTAGTGCACTTGTGACCCTCTTCAATTTTAAAAAGTAGTTTCCTAGATCATAGTAGTTTTCTGTTTAAAATTGCATTAACAATGAGAACTAAAGAACTGGTTACTGCTATTTGGAGTAGGAGCCTATTGGTAGAAATTGATGTAATCGCCTTTAGAAAGAACATTTTCTAATCATAGTTTTATGTAAACTGTGTGGTGTTTATTGCCTGGTATATTGGATAGCTGAATGGCTTAATATTTTACCTGTTGACAAGAACATCTGCCCCAATACACACACAGTTTACTATTTTATGGGCTGTACATTCTGAAGTTACTGCACTAGCTTTATTAATTCAAAAGAATCAATTCATCTGTTTTCTGAAGGCCTGTAGGATTGTAGTGTGCATCTTATGCATAGTTTTCATTTTCTTTCATGTAATTTTAAGGAAGTAAATCTGTGCTACACTTAGTTGTTACTTCATCAGAATGTTGTTTCACATGGTGCAATAATTTCATATCACCCCCATTCTCTTTAGCTTAGAGTAGTATAGAATTTCTTCTAAGGAACAGCAACAATTTTTTTCCCTTCAGACTGCAAGAGGAAATGTGTAGACCTTATTTTTTTCCTCTTCACAAAGAAGACGGTTGAAATAATTAGAAGTGTGCTGGCTTCACACTTACTCCTGATGTTTAACAGACAACCATTTCAACTAATGGCAGCACAGAGAAGGCAGAGTGTCAAAACTGGCTTGATATCTCTATTCAATGACACTTTTTACAGTTGGTATCACCACTGCCATCTCCATTCTGCCTTTCCTTTTTGCAATCATCATCATTTTATCAATGAGACATCTTAACTAATAGTATTGCCTACACACTTGGCATCTAGGGGGAAAAATCAGTTCTTAAGAAAAAAAAAACATTTACTGGATGGGCAGAAATTTAATGCTTAGCTGAAAGAAAAAAAAAAAAGCATGTTGTCAATTCAGATTCTGAGGAGATAAGTAACAATATAAATGAAAAATTAAGATAATTAATTTTGTTAAGAATAACATAGTGGTTCCTAAATAATGTGGACTTTCTACAAAATGTAGGAATATCAAGGAAATCCCCTCTTCATCTTTCTTTGTAGTTTAATACTGAGTAATTAAAAGTTGATGATTTGTAATTCACATTTCTTTCCTCAGAAAGACAGTAAGTAATACAGGTAACAGAAGAAATGACATGATCAGAATGAAAAGAATCCCAAACACAAGATCTTGAGTGCAGTGAGGCACATGGTGAGAAGTTATTTAAAAAAATTATTTACAGTGTATATATTGTGATATCAGGCACTGATATCACAAGCGAGTCATGCATGTCTGGTTTTCCTTTGTCCCATTTTATGAGAAGGTTATTAATGGAATCTGAAACTTTGTAAAAGAATCAATAATCAGAAAGCCTTTGTATTTGCAAAATGTGGAGATTTTGATGGTTTTGTACTCTAAGAACTATCCCAAACATATTGATATAGTCTTTGAGCTCATATAATGATTTTTAGTAGTTAGTCTAATATTTATCTTCATTATTCCTCTGCTCTTTGATTTAGACAGTTTTCTCAGTATTTATCTGGTTTGGGTCAGATTAATTTAAATGCAGAGGCTGCTTTAAATTTACAAAGAGAATTGATAAAATCTTGTAACATCTCATTGAAGTTAATTCTATTCTGGAGGCCATTCTGGTGGTTAAGTGAATTCTCTTGGTAACTGCTACTTTCAGTTATTTTTTGTATTTTTTAAGTATGTCAGCCAGCAGCAAAGGATATGGCATCTTGTTCCTAATCTCCTTGTTTAGATTCAATAATAATTTTTAATTAAAATTGCCTTGAATTGGCATCACTGTCATTTTGTTTGAAAGGCAAAAGACAAGCCGGCTGTCATCTGAAGAGATAATCTTTTTTAACTGAAGTTCTGTTTTTTTCCCAGTGTTTTAATTGATGCTGGGAATTACTGATGAGCTGTTGTGGTTTGGACCCTGGCCGAATGCAAAAGCACCCACCACGCTTCCCCCTACCCCCAGGAGAGGCAGACGGGAGAGCAAAACCCCAATTAACACCAATATTTATGGCTTTTAGATAAGATAAGATTGAGAGAACAATTTTCAGGCTCCGTGAGTGGTCAAACAGGCTGGAAAACTTAAGTTTCAAAATAGATTTATTACTAAAACTACAAATAATACTACTACACGAAAGGGGAGGGGGGAAAAAACAATGGCAGAGGGCAAATTTATGAGGAGGAGAAAAAAAAAAACCTGGACAATTTAAGACACTGTTTCTCTCCCGAACCTGTTTCTTTCCTGATTCAGGCAGGGGAAACAGGGGATGAGAGCTTTTCTGGTCACTCCATTACTACGGTTGTCTTCCACCACACACCATAGTAGAGGAATTCGTACCCAGCTCCAGGTTGTGAAAATTCTTTTCCCAAGAACAGACAGTATATCACTGCTGGTGGCATGGGATTTTGTTTCCTTTACGTCATCCAGGGGGAAAGGGGAGCAGTCTTGGCTGCTTCATTCTGGGAACAAGGCCATTTCTCAAATCTCCTGGCAGAACACAGTTTCTTTCAGGCGTCCACTTACTCCAGGCATGGGAGGGGCCACCTCTTCCCCCTGGGCTCTGTTATGAGTCCAGCCCTCCAAGGCAGGTTGTCTGTCTTGGGTGCAGGGCCTCTCTCTCAAGGTCTCCCACTGAAGACAGTCACCTCGAGAACAGTATTTTCTTCCATGGTCGAGCACCACAACTTGCAAGGCCCTGGTTACAACCTCTGCCTCTCTTTTCTGATCTTGATGTCTCCGTTTTTTCTCACCACCCTCCCCCTCTGTCCTCCTCTGTGCAGGGGGTCTGGGTCTAAAAGCTAAAGCTTATGGAAGCTGCTGCAAACTAACTTGTTTTGAATTCTTCTTAAATGTGAGACGGAGTGACATCATGGAGGTGTAACCAGTATCTCTAATTTGCCCCAGGTCTGCCCAGCAGCCTGTCCATCACCCTCAGAGCCATCATAGATTGGCCATAAAACACAGGGGCAGGGCTCCTTTGCTGGACATGATGGAGAAAGCTTCCAGAAATTCCTCACATGAGCTGTCTGGTTTTGTGATCCCATCCCCACCACTAAAAAACTGGACCAAGTAAAACCACCTCATGAGCTTGTGTTACTAAACAGAGATGAACATAATAGAAGTCATCAAATACTTTGTAACTATAGAAGTAAAAATACCATCCTAAAAATAACAACAAAAAGTTTTAAATACCTGTTTATAGGTAATGGTACCTGCACTCACTGTGAATATCAAATTACTTTCTTTTATATTTTCTTTCATAGAAGTATCTATGCCTGTCTTTTTTTGTTCRTTTGTTTTGGTTTTTTTTGGTTTTTTTTCCCCCAGGTAAGTATACAAGTCATGTTGAAGCTGTATGTCAGCTTGGATAACCGGCATTAAAAGTCTTGGGAAAGAGCAGCTGAACACATACCTGCTGAGTTTTGGACCTTTGCCTATGGAGCTGGCCAGTCATTCCTGTCACCAGTTAGCAGTGTTGTTCCCTTGAGCTTTTGATGTTTGTAACAACAGATTCTGATGCTGCTGTTGCTCTTAATTGCAACAGATTTCTTGATTTTAATACTGTCCTTCACACTGCAGCACAGGATGGAAGTTCTGCAGTTTCAGGCTGGAATACCAGGCTGGAGCTTGCTGACTTGAAGGCTGTCTACTCTGATTTTCTTCTGTACTGGTTTACAGTGAGGGTAGTTATTCTGCAGTGAATTGCTGACTCCTTCCCTTCTGCTTGTTTCCTTTTCCAAGTTGATTTGCTTTTGGATACCAGAGCACACATCCATGTTTCAAATAGAAGTAAGTTAATGTTAAAAGTTGTGTTCTAAGGAGCCTTTGTGTTACTTCCAGGTTCGCAAGAGTTTTTCAACTCCTAAAGTGCATGAAGACATCTTTTCCTCCTTCCCTTTCTTTAGGGCACATACTCCTGTGGGCTTTTTTTTTTTTGTGTGTGTTTGGTTGTGATTGTTTTTTCTTTTGTTGTTGTAGTTTGGGTGGGGTTTTTTTTTGTTTATTTTTGGTTTTATATTGTTTTGTTTTGGTGGGGGTTGTTTTGGGCATTTTATTTTGTGGTTGTGTTTTTTGTTTTGCTGTTTATATTTGACTAGGTAATACAATGAATTTGCAACCTTCCAGTACATGTATTTTACATTTACATTTTCTAACATTGTTTCAGTTTCTTTTAACAAAACAAATTGAGTCTTTCTGGAAGATTCCAGGAAAGATTTCCAAAGTGCAGGGTAAAACTTGGGCATTAAGAACAAGAACAGATAAATACTTTGGTTTCTTGGCTAAAATCACAGGGTAGCTGAAACTTGTACAGAATTTTTGTGTCCTACACCTCCAGGAATCATGGTTCCTGATGGTGCATAATTTCAAATTAAGAAATTGTCACTAATATCTTTTTCTCGGCAGCGGAAGCCTCATCAAATTTATTGTTTCACTGCTTGATAAGATGTTAAAGAAGGAAACAATTGCATTTGCTATTCTAGAAGTGCTATTTGACTCCATAAATATATATAGAATTTGATTAAATATAATGGGAAGCATTACTGAGTTTTATGTGGACTTCCTGCAGTGAAAAATGTTTGTGTCTGATTTGCTTCACTATTTGAATTCTTTATTTAGCTTTAACTGTTCTATATGTATTATTTGATTCACAGAATCAGAGAATTGTTAGGGTTGGAAGGGACCCTTGGCAATCTCATTTAGTCCAAACCCAGACCATCTTAATACTTACACTTCATCCAGTAAGCTTTTATCTGTAAAAGTTACGGTACACAGAACTGGTAATGTAAGATCCCAAGTGCACCACAGCTGTCAGAATTAAGAGACCATTTAAGAATAAAGGAACATTAGTAATGGTCTCTCCATAAGAGAAGTTTGTTAATGGCAAATAAAATCCTCTTCAGCAGAACTGTAGGCTTTTTGTTTACTCCTAGTTAATTAACTTAGGGAGCAGCAGGTTGATTGGAGAATAAGAGGGAAGCAGAGATAGAACCATCCCACCCTGGTCACTTAAATCCAGAGATAAGCCAAGGTTCTTTTGCTCTGAGTAGGTGCAAAGGAGACAAACCAACCAGATATCCTCAAGAGGTTAAAAGGTCTCACAAAAGTTTGCTAGTAAACTATAAAAGATCAAGGAACTTTGTCAAATTATTTAGTACAACATGAAACACCATAGCACGGACTTAGCCCATTAAACATTGCAACACCAAATGGGTTTAAAGGTTTTCTTTCTGTGAAAAGAGAGTTAGAAGAAGAAATAGAGAAAACAGACATGAAAGATATAGAAAAACAGACATAGGTGCCAACTCCTGTGTTCCAGTGATGTAAAACTCCAGAATGAAGGTAGGACAATGTACTTCCCTTGGGGTCAGCCTTCTTGAAGGGCCTTCCTCCCAGGTGTGATTTTCAGTTGCTCAGCCATTTGGGGTCTCAGTTAGGCAACACTGTTTCCAGTGTGCCTTGATTGACATAAGACTGTGGAGTTGGGTGATATGGGAAGCAGGGCACTACGTCACCACAGAAAGGTCTGACCCACCTCCTGCCACACCTTCCAAGCCCCCAAGAAGTCTCAAAACAGATTTACAGTCTCTGACAGAATATTATTTCAACTACTTCTCTCTAGTCCCTGAACAGAAACAAGATAATCTTAAATTTTGCATAAGGCTAGTATTCTCTTTTGCAAGTGATATGTGCACACTGCTTCCTCTCTTATTTTAAAACAAATTAATGGCTGTTGGTCTTAATGGGATTTTGCAGTGTGTCTAATTGCAGAAGATGGAATGAAGTATTTCCTTGTTCGGTGAGTTTTTGCTACTTGGCTTGTGACCTTCTAAGCCTCAAAATGGCAGCAGGTAGCTTTAAAAGTTTGCAAASTCTTGGTAGCATGTTTAAGTCAGTCTTATTTATGAAATGTTACTGAGTATTTGAATGTAGTTTATGGTCGCATATACTGAATTTCCGAATTGTTTCTGATTAACGCKTAGATACTAACCTTCTTCTTTAACTCCTGTTGCCTTTTTGAACATGACATAGCTATGCTGATTTTTTTTGTGAACTATATGGCCTAGAGAGCCACTAGCTATGGTTTAGAGCAAAGGTGAGTCTGACAATGAAGAATGCATGGATTTGGAAACAAATGCAACCTTTTTGTTTTGTGAAGTAGCGGTGTCACTGAAATGGTTCAGATGATACTGAAAATAGAAGTGAAAAGGCATCTTCCCCATGTTCTGGCATCTACTGATGTACCTTTGCTGGATGGTGACTATATCTTTCCATCTTATAGGTGGTAATGGCTTGTGTCTGTAAAGGCACCAATGTATTTGCAATAAGTGTGAGGGAAGGGTAAAATAGTCTGTTTCCAAAAGAAATAGGAAAAAAAAACCCAAATAAATACTGCTTATTTTTAAAATGCTTATAAAATTCTAATGTTATATTCATTAAACACTGTATACTTAGTGAGAAATACATTAGAATTCTATTAGAATCAAAGAGTGTGTATTTGGTTGATTGTGAATGATAGGTGAATTTTCTTGGTGAGTAGGGGAGGATTGCTGATAACATATGCAGACAGGTATGGAACAGCCAGGAACCATTTGTAGAACCTAAGGCAACCTGTCTGCACATATGGAAAATAGAAGCATTTCAGTTCACTCAGCAAATCAGGTCTGGTCCATGGTCATGCCTGAATGAGGTGGTAGCTGTTATGTATGTTTTTTGAAGGTTTTGTTTAATAAGTTTATTGTCAATAGATAAATTTTATGGGAGAAAGTTGGGAGACAAATACAGGAGAAGTTGCTATGAATCTGCTAATGGATGTAGATGCTCCAAGAGGTAAGTGACTAAAAGGAATCAAGTGGACCAAAAGACTGAAAAATGATCTGGAGAGATACTCCATTTTTCTGTATGATAATATTCAAGTATGCTTTTACCTGTTAAGAAAATCAGTATCTTTATGGTATCTTTTATTTCAAAAAGCCCCCAAGATAATTTTGAAAGAYGGGTCATGGTGATTAGTTCTGTTATGGGGCACCCTTCAGAGCTAAGACAAGGCTGAATAGGGAAGTAGTGGTCATGACTTCTGGTTGATACAGAATCCCAGTTCTGTGGTCCTCTCAGCCCCTTAGCTAAAGGCTCTGTTTTCTGATCAAGCTCTGTTTTATTTTTAGGAGCAAAGCATTGTGTTTAAAATGGAAGTCGATGTGAATGGAGAGTCCAGAGCTGCCCTCTCCACCCTCCCTATGCCTCTTGCAGAGGTGAGTTCTGCAGGCAGGTTGGAAGCAGAAAAACCGCGTTGTTCTAGCACCCCCTGCTCACCAATGAGGCAGACAGTTGCGGGATATCAGATCCTTCACATGGATTCTAACTACCTGGTTGGCTTCACAACTGGAGAGGAGCTGCTGAAATTAGCCCAGAAGTGTACTGGAGGTGAAGAGAATAAAGGAGAATCTGGTCCAAACTTGCACTCAAAACAACTTGATTCAGGACTTCCACGTTCCTCGCGTTTGTACAAAACTCGAAGTAGGTACTACCAGCCATATGAGATCCCAGCAGTAAATGGAAGGAGGAGGAGACGGATGCCCAGTTCAGGGGATAAATGCAATAAAGCTTTACCATATGAACCTTACAAGGCACTCCATGGTCCCTTGCCTCTCTGCCTTTTGAAAGGTAAAAGGGCTCATTCAAAATCATTGGACTACCTCAACTTAGACAAAATGAGSATTAAGGAACCTGCTGACACTGAAGTGCTACAATACCAGCTCCAACACCTTACTCTTAGAGGGGATCGTATGTTTGCATGGAGTAGCACATGAGCTGTCATCTCAAATTTAGAAATTATTTTTGATCTTTCCTCTGTTGCTGCAAAAATCCGCTGTTGTACTGTGTACATGACTGTCCACATTGTAGGTGGTTGTATCAGCTCAGTGTTATCAGAAAGTAATTTATTTGATAGTCTTGGCAATGCAGTGTGTTACAAATACTTGGAGAGAGAAATCTTTCCTGAGCAAGCAGCTTCTGATGCAGATTCGACTGCAACTAGTGAATATTTCCGTGGACATACTTTAACAAGAAAAAGCTATTGATTTTTGGGACTTTTTTTTTGTACAGTTAGATCTAGTATTTACAGTAACTTAACACTGAAGAATCAGTGATGCCTGCTTGGTTGTTGCTAATTAGGGCTTGATGTTAGATACTGCTCTTGGATAAGCACTCAAGGAGATCTTTTGGTTTTACTTTTTGCTGCTGTAGTAAAATGTCAGAGTTTTTCTTACAAGGAGGACAGGAAAGTGAGCTTGACTGGATACATCACTTGCTATTTAAGCAATCCAATTGMTACTTTTTCAGCTGTACTTGTACTAGTGATATGGGTTCCTAAAAGAAACTTTTGTTACTTGAATTCTATTAAATTATTTTTTTAGTTTCTGTGTGGAAGTACTTTGCTTTGTCCTTTCTACTCGGTGAAACGTGTTCAGAATAAGTGTTTGAGTTATTTAAAACAAATCTTTCAGGGAGTAAAGATTTCAGGTTTTTTAGTTAGATTTTATTTTTACATTGTCTTGAGACAGAAACTGGAATGGCTGTATTGGTATGTCAGTCATGTTTTTGATTTTAATTTGTGGTTTCTATTTCATACATAGTAGCTGAATGTGTCAGCTTCAGCATAGCTTTGGAAATTTGTTGACTTGAGGCATTGAACCCATGAGCTCCGGAGAACAATTTTTTTTTTTTTTTGAGAAGAGTGCAAGTGAAATATTTCTTTGTCAGCATTTTGAAGAGATGGTCTTGGATTTTTCAGCAAAATAATGAACTAGCTTACTTTTGTTACTTAATAAATTTTTATCCAACTGTGACATCAAATACAGTTTTGACATTCTGTATTCTTAGATGTATTTAAAATACTTCGGTAACTTCAGTTTAAAAATGAAAAATAGTTTTCATACTTTCTGTTTTATTAAGGTGCAGTCTTTTAATGAAGCAGTGTGTAACTTGATTTTGGCTGATGACCTCTGCAGAAATTAAAAATAATCTCATATTGCATTTAAACATAAATTATTTGATCAGTTGTTTCTGATAAAGATTTTTTTTTTAACACTGAATGAATTGAAAGCACTACTTAGTGCATGTGGCATGGAACACAAAGAGTTCTTACTTGGTCACTCCACCATTTAAATGAAGGCATGCCATTAGTGAGCGTTTTGTGGTTTGGTTATCTTTTTTTAGATTTATTAGAAACTACAGAAAAACAAATACGTATTTTTGAAAATTAACTACACTGGTAGTAAATTTAATGTATTGAACAATGATCAAGAAAGTAAAGTCTTCCTATATAGTCTTTAGTTTGAAAAGCATATACGGTCAGATGCCAAAGAGATGGGAGTTTTGTTTAAGGAGTAAACATCACTGTTTATTGAAATAGCCAATTAAATTGTATTTCTGCCTGAAAAATAAAAAGGGTGTTATAAACAGCTGTTCTTGTGGATTCATTTGCTGTGTAGAAGAATGAGAGGACATTGAAAAAATACAACTTCAGACCCAGGAACATTTAAAAAACGAGTTTGAAGGTTGGGGTCTTGGATTTCTATGAAATAGATGGTTAGGTTTGTTCCTTTGTTTCAGGAGAAGGAACCTTATGCCCATTTTTCTAATGTTCTGTGCTGTAATTGTTTGGCTACACTACGGGAGTGGTTGATAGCTATCTGTCTGAGTTCAAACATAAAAAAATGCATTGGTATTTTACTTGTTTGATGATTTGTTTGTCAGTGTGCTCAGACATGGTCATGGTGTTTGCCTAACACACACTTGCAGCTCTTGTAACACGGGAAATACACTACCTGTAATACAGACTAAACAAAGAATTGTTAATGGATGACTTACTTGGGTTTTTTTTGTTTCAATGGTACCAAAGAATTGCAAACAAATTATCCAACATAGTAACTTAAAAAAAAGTTTTATAGTGTAGTCTGATTAAAGCCAGTTATTAAGCTTCACCTTAAAAGGATTGTGTGCTAAAATGATGCAATAGGAAGTAGCCATCCTTAATGAGAATATAGACAGTAAAAACTAAAAAAATTGCTTTGAATTAGTCTAATTTTATAGTGGAGGCACATTAATATGAAATATAACTAAATTGTTATTTAGTTATATTTACTAAACTGGTGTAGAAAAAGTATAGATTAAAACTGAAAAATGTAGATTTATTACAATGCTAATAGCTTTAGAGGTAATGTCAAGGTTGGCAACCAGCAGTAAAAGGGCACATATCTTTGCATGTTGTTGGAGCATCTGGCAATTGTAGTTTTACTGATGATTCTGAAGACTCGTTTTTATATAAATGGTTTTCCATGATTGGATCTTAGTTAGGACATCAATTTCCATACAATTGAACTCTTTCCATACAATTCTGTAAGAGTGGCACAGACATGTTCCTGATATATCCTTATAAGAACACAACAATGTTGCAATTACTGATCTTTTTTCAAGTTCTTGAAAACCTTCACACAGATTTTATGGTTTTTGTTTGCCTTGTGATTTTGATAGTGAAATACTTTTTTCCTCTATTCCATCACAAAAGTACTTGGGGAAAATCAAGTTATCGTCAGGTCTGCAGAACGTGGAAAGCTTCTTTTCCTTCTCGGAAGGAGCAAGGGAACATTATCCCAATRTTTCAATACCCAGTCTGTCTTGCTTAATCTTAGCTTTAGTAGTTTGGTGATAGAGAATGACATTGAGGCAAACCTACAGGGAAGCTATCTAGGCCACATTAGAAGAACTGGGGAAAGAAGACACTCAGTTTTGGGAGGAAAATGGAATCAGTTGTCTTATGGTGAAAGCAAAAGAGAAGGTGAGCATATTAACTGATCACATTCCTTTCATTTTTAGGAGGCAAGTTCTCTCACCCTTGCATATGTCTGGTATCACCTATCAAAGAATTGGCCTGGAGTAAAAAGAGGAGGAAGGGAAAAGGAGGAGAGCCTTCACAGTGCTTTAATTTCTGTGGAGAGTGGGAGGGCAGAAAAAATTCAGAATATATCAGGGGAAGGGCTGGAGAAACGAGTTGGAAAGCTCAGAGGAGCAGTGTGGCAAGAGTAGGAAGAGTGTGGTTCCAGTGTCAATAAAAGCAAAGACATGGAAGAAAATGGTGTGCTGGTCTCAAATCTCACTAGGAAACACTTCAGTCTGTTTCTGCCTGGTTATGGAGGCTTATGGGATGTCTTAGCACAATGCTGCAGTGAAGGTAAAAGCAGGAGCTTGAGGCTGTGTGTGTACACTTTCATATTCATAAGCTTAGACAAAATTGAAAGTGCTGAAGGAATAAAATAATAATCTTTATTCAAGTTGAGCATGGTCTGAATTAAACTCCTGTAATGTTTCTATGATATTGGGCAGCCCTACACAGTGTCAGTAGGTAGATGGTACCATTTTGTAGCCTGAGAAGCTGTCTGAAAAAAACCCAAACCCAAAAATCCCTTTATTATTCATTTCAATTAGAAAAAACTAAGAGGCTTTCAAGGTTCTTATGCATTACGGTGTAAGTACCAGCTATGATGTCTAGTGGGATTATTGCTCCATTCCATTTTGGCATTTTGCTAGACTCTTGCCTTCAGAAGCTCCTCATAAGCTGTTCTTTCTGTGAGGTGAAGGAGACACAAGTGCTAAAATATGCAAGAACCTTGAGAGCAGCAGTGACAGTGTGAACCCTATGAGAAAATGGAGCAAGCCATGATTCAATGTTGTGCTTTGCATTAACTGATTTTTGAGAAACTGGAAAAATGTACAAAGAAATCATTGGGTACTGCAAAGCCTTTAAAATCTRTTTCAGCCCAGGAATGTTGCAGCACAGAGCTTCATGATGTGAACTTCATGATGATCTGCAAATGAATGAAAAGCAGAAGGGGAAAGAATGTCATTGTGCGCTGGCATTTGAAGTGGTGGAACACCAGCCTTTCAAGCTAAGTGAGAGAGAATGGAAAGAAGAATGTATTAGATGCAAATGCATTTGCTTCTGCCTTATCTCACTGATTCAAAGTTTCTAATGGTAATTGTAGCAAACATCTTCCAATTCTTTTGAGGTATTGGAGGATATCGAGAATAGCTACAGCTCCAAGCAACTGTATGCAAGATTTTTACCTATCCATCTATAATGGCCTTTTACAGAATTTAAATACTTTGATTTTTATCAGTCTCCTAATATTTTACTAGATTTTTTTTCAAATTAGTCTTGGTAAAGAAATAGCTGGAAAAAAACAATAATGAAGTAAGAAATGCTGATGTCGATTAAAATGGTATATAAACCTTCATGTAAGTAGTGGCCATTCTATTGATTTAATAATTTTGAAGTAGAACTGTAAGCATAGGAAAAAAAAGGTCATCACTCCCAGGAGCAGAGGTGGGATGCAATGATCTGTAAACACTGCTCCCATTTGTATATTTTGTGAGACACAGTTATGTTTCAGTGATGATTAAGTGCTTAATGGAACTTAGTTTTAACATTTCAGAGAGGGTTTTAGAAGACTGGATTACCTGGTTTTTCTAGAAGCATAGGTTGGAAAATGCCTCTAAGGTCATTGAGTCCATTAGCCCACTATCAAATCCACACTAAACTAGGTCCCTGAGTGCCACATATATGGGTCTTTAAATAGCTCCAGGAATGGCTATGCCACCACAGCCCTGGGCAGCCTGTTCCTGTGCTTGACGACTCTTAACATGAAAAAATTTCCTCTAATATCCAAACTAAACCTCCCCTGGTGCAACTTGAGGCTTTTTCCTATTGTCCTGTTGCTTGTTCTTAGGCAAGGAACCTAACCACCTGGCTGCACCTCCTCTCAGGTCATAGAGAGCAACAAGGTTCCCCCCTAAGCCTGCTTTTCTACAGACTGACCCCCACATCTCCCTCAGCTGCTCCTCATCAGCTCTATTCAATTCTCTGGACTCACTCCAGCAACCCAATGTCTTTCTTCTTGTGAGGGGCTCAGAATTGATCACAGGATTTGGGGTGGAGATATTTTTGAGTATTTGAGTGTTTTTATCTACCTTCCATTTTCAGAAAGCCCATGATGCACTTGGGGTAACTTCTGTCTTTTTAGATCTAGGTTTTAAAAATCTTCAGGGAAAAAAAAAATCATTCTTACGTACTCCTGTCATCTAATACATGTTTTAAATTATTAACTGCAGCGTAATCCAAGATTTTAATCAGTATTGAAATTGCTTTAGCAGTAATTGGCAACTTTTCTATCTGGCCTCAAAAACTTTTCTATCTGGCCTCTTTTAAAATGCATATAAATGTTAGCATGTTCCTTATTAACATGATTTAGACTTCCAGTCAGTGGCAAAATGGTTTTAATATCAGAGGATCTGGACTTCAGAAAAATAAAGCTGTGACATCTTATTTTGTTGTAAAACCTCCAGTCAGCTGCCCCACATTCCTTATCTCCTGTGGAGTCCTTGTTTAATTTAGAACTTCAGCCAGAAGGAAAAGGCATTTTTGGAATTAAGAGATTGCCTCAAGTGGGCAATTTTCCAGGAAAAAAATCTTACTTGGTTTGTCTGTTTGAAAAATATTCTCAGTTGAGACTTACTAATGTTGGGAGAAATAATTTTGGGGGCACTATTTTTATTTTTATTTAACAGTGAGCTAAATGAAGAAGGCAAAAACCATATTGTTGGAGCTGACCATTTGTCGAGCGGCGGGAGAAATGCACAACGACCACCAGAGAGATGATCAGCATAACTCGTTTATTCAGTCAGCGACCACGGCTTTTATGCCCATGTTCGTTAATGGTAATCAACCTCATACATATTACAAAAACTGAGCTCCTTATCGGCTACTTTAGAAATGACACCTTGCCCGTTAGCCTCACAAGCTAGCGCCATCAAGTCGTTAAGTGAACTTAACGAGTCTGTCTGGGGACAGAAGACCTCTTGTAACTTTCGGCTCCAGCAAGCTACTGCTTGCAGCTGATAGCTGTTAGCAGCTTTTAGTTATACTGAGATCAGGCAATTCCAGAGTATTCTACATGTCCCTTATCGCGTAGCCAGCTTTTAAGCAGGCTCACCACACCATATGACAGCAGCTAATGTCTAATACTAATTCATAGAAACACTGCCAAGAAAAAAAAAGCAAATAGTATATGTGTTAATCAGAGAAGACATGACAGTGGCTTCATTCAGTAATTGGAATCACCCAAGGTATCTCTTAAAAGCAACTTAGAAAAACAAGCCCATAACAACAGCTATCTGCAGTTCTACTCGCACAAATGAAAGTTTTCTCATATTCTTGATCTGAGAAGTCCACTTAATCCTGATCTGCTGTGGAATGGTAGTAATCCTGACTGATCAATTGGCAGAAGCTCAAATTTATTGCACGGGGAAGGTCAGCAGCGCTGTTTGCTGGGGCAATTTCTATGCAGCAAGTAATTGTTCTCATTAAAGCTCCATTTGAAACAGTATTTTCTCTGATGGAAGAGTAAATCTGTCTTTAGTCATCAAGATAAGATGACATCAGTGGGATGCTATAAACTTTCTGAAGGATTAAATACCCACTATCAACTGCAGACTTAATTCAGAAGCT